AATGCCTGTGTCGTTTTAAAAAGTTTGAGGGGGAAACACATTGTTGCTGGTGGCCTGCTACTGGACTACAATGTTTGCCAATGTATAAATGATCAATCAATCAAGGTTATTTGTAGAGCGCCTTTGCGACACAAAGCGCCTCACAACCCAAATCACATCAAGTATAAATCATAAACATTAAAATCTACATGTACATAAAAAATACGATTTATAAACAAGCAAGAAATATTGAAAACAGAATAAAATCAAGTAATTCCAAACCTTCAGACATTAAAAATCACACACAAGTTTAAAATTATAAACAGCCACAGCGCCTCCAGTTCTAAAGATATAATCCTGCAGTCTGTTTTTAACCTTTGAAAACTGTCAGAGTAGACGCCTATCAAAGTGGAAAATCACATTCAGCAAAACTAAACGTGTTATTTAATCAATTAGTGTCTTATAAATGCTGGGGTGGTAGTCAGTTTGACGCAGAAAAACAGTGTAGATTATAAAGCAATTGGGATAAGATTTGGATCCCACCACCATAAGCCTCCTCTTCTGGTTACAACTGGTGTGGGTGTTGCTGGCACGATGACCCTTCATACGGTGGCGCTTGCCTAGAAGTCCCAAATTGTTATCCCCCAATGAGTGTACATGCAGAATCTAAAAGTATCAATTAAAAAACGCTGGATTGGTGCGTCTTTTAATATCGAAAAAGCACAGTTCAGATGATTTAAACAGTGTGAATTGCCTTCCTTCGAGCCCTAAAAGCCGACATTATTGTTATAAAACATCTCTCAATGTGGTTACGCGGTGCCCAGTGTCCCATTAGGACTTGTTATCATGCCAGGCCAAAATGGGTACAAAAGCGCTTCACAATGGGAGAGCCTGAAACCAACATCCTTCCAGCCGTCCGGTTCAAAGTCTAAAGAATAATTAGGCTCGCTATGTTACGTTGATTATTATGATGCAACTAAGAGCAACTTTGCAGCTCTCTCTCCAAGATAAGGCTACAGCAGTACATACTTCTGTCAAGGTTTCTGTAAATGCAGAATTATTATCAAAAACGTTGCATATTCATTTCTGTGTTTTAATCTGCGTAGTGACATAATTGAACCATTTTTTTTTTTTGTTCTGCTAAAATATGTCTTTACTCTTTTTAATGCACTATGGCTATTTGTTTGTATTTTTTTATTTTTTTTATTTGAGAATTAAAGACAACAAAACAGACAACAAGAAGAACACAAAAATAACACAAAGACAACACACACAAAATGCACAGTGGCTATTTATAATTTCAATCTGGTGTGTATTTTTTATGATTTAAGGTTTTTAATTACATGTGTGATTTTATTCTGTTTTTAATATTTCTTGTGACCTGAAGGTTTGTTTTTGATCTTTTTTTTTCTGTATATGTAGATTTTAATATTTATAATTTATGCTTGATGTAATATGGGTTATGAGGCGCTTTGTGTTGCCTTGTGTAAGAAAGGCGCTCTACAAAAAGTTGGTTTGATGGATTGAAAATGTATAAGTTTGACAGCTGTTTTTGCTTCTGCCAAATATATGTTAAAACCCGTCGCGTCCTGCTGCAAACAAAAGTATCCCCGACACATGGGAATAAATGTTTTTTATTTTTTTGGGTGCTCGCTGAGGCTGCATTTGGAGCACGGCTAACCACAACAAACCTGTATTTATATGAAAATGTGAATTTGAGCTAAAACTACTGAACAGCCATGCAGAAAGAATGAGGCGGCTGTTTGTGTTTTCGACCCGCCGCTGCTCTCCGCTTGGCACAGATACACCCTCCCACATGAAAAAAAAGAAAGGAAAACGCCAGAAACAACAAAAGTCATTCTGGGTTTGGACACACCCCTCTCTGCCTTATCTCTTTGCATTGGCGACACATTTGTCAAGCGGGTCGGCTTCTCATTCATGCGAGCTTTATTGAAATCGAAGAAGCAATCCTTTCCTGACAAAATAAAAAACAGACTTTGCTTAAACTCCGGATCTTCCTTCGCGAGTTTCATTGTTCTTTTTCCCTGTACTGCGGTTTGTAAACTAAAGCGTACAATATCCAAGTCATGGTGGTTATGCCTGTGGTGGGAAAGAGCAACTTCTGAGTGAATGTTTAGACCCAGTTCAGAATGTTTTCAGTTTTATTTTACTACTGATTTTTGCACTAATCTACATAAGTTCATATTTGAAACCTCTTTCTGTTGAAGTAATGAAGGAATGTTGTTTCTTTTTTTTCAATGAGCTGGAATTTTAACGCTGAGTGGGGGAAAAAAATTGTCTCCGAAAGTACTGACTCTTACATCAAACGTTCCAGACATCTGCCCGGAATAGTAGCAGGAAGTATATAAGTATAAGCTGTATTCTTCTAGTCACACATCGAGCTGCTGGTCCCGGGTGATGCGTTCTATCCGCTGCTCCACTGTATATTCACATGCACAGCCTTTTTTCTGAAACAGCTGTAGTTACGTTGTTTGCATAATGTGAGGAGAATTTCTTGGCCACAAACAAACATGTATCAGTTACTACAGGCCTTTTTAATTAGTTCTGTATTGTCCAACCCTGGCTTGTCCCTGAGCACATATTTCATAGCTTTACTTTAGGAAAACATGCCAAGCTCTACACGCCCAAAGGTCATATGTTGTATTCAAATCGGACCAGAATTGTGAGATTGGATCTACAGAATCCATCTATCTTTCTATCTATCTATATATCTATCTATGTAATGTTATAGCTTGTTTCTTTTTTAGACGGGCAATAAGTTGTGAGATGTGTCTTGACATGTTTCAGTTGGAGCCCTCTTCAAATGGTCACTAGTCTTGGTGTTTTGCCAGTATGTTTGAAGTTGGTTTGCAAACAGGATCCCCAAAACACGTGTGTGTATGTGTGTTGCGTCTCACTAAAGATATGGCTGGCTTAACTGCAAGACAAACAATATAAACATGTGTGATGTGATTTATGTAAATTAGCCAAGTTCCTGCTTCATTTTCTGTGTATATGAAGTTGTGCATATTTACATTATTTGGGAACACCAGGTGCCACAGTGGGGCGGCTGTAAAGTGACAAACTGTTGTTGTGTCCATAGGCAAGACACTTCACCCCCATTGCCTAGAATGACTCTGGTGTGTGTGTGAATGGTTGGTGGTGGTCGGAGGGGCCGATGGCACATACTGGTTGCCTCGGTACTGTCAGTGTGCCCCAGGGCAGCTGTGGCTACTGTAGTAGTTTATCACCACAGTGTGTGTAGTGAAAGAATAACTACACATGACTTGAGTGTCCAAAAAATTGCTATATAAAACCAATACATTATAACTATTATTATTATTATTACAAATGTATATTTTACAAAGAAATGTCTTGAACACAATGCTCTCTTTTAAAAAAAGAATGTAAGATTAACTTTTTCCTTTAATACAATATTTGACAAAAGGAACAATGGAGGAAATCAAGGACATATTGAACTGCTCAAGAGCTGCTTGCTTGCTCTAACTATCAGATTTGGCGAATGCAAGTGCCACCTTTTCCTTTCAAAAGTCCTTATCTGTGTTAAATCAATGGTTGAAAGCATTTATATTTCTCAACCTTGACAATAAACTGTTCATTCATGAGTCTCTGGGGTCCTGGATCTGATGTACGCAACTTTATACAATTTTTTTTGGATGTTGATTTGTGTTTCTCTGCTGAAAAGCCATGGAGGTTAAAACTTAAACCTAATGTGTGATGAAGGTCTGGCGCGCCAGCTGTGTGGCAGTTGTCATCGTGTGGAGTGAGTGGAAAATCGCTCACTCCAAAAAGCGCTTTTGGTGACCTTGGTCTGTGAAATGTGCTCTATAAATAAAGATTATACTTGCAAAATGGGAACGTGTGTACAGTATGTTCACACTTATATGTTCATACTGTTCATAGGTTATCTTTCATCAGAATCCGTTCATTTTGTAAATTAACGCCCTGTTTATACAGAGATGCTGCGGAGACGCTACAAAGCAGTTATCAAAAAACAACCAGGCTCCTGCACAGCGTTTGGACGGTGACAGAAAACAATGTAGTTCTAGCGCCCCGCCAGTAGTGGACAGAGGAACTTTACAACATGCAACACGACCTCGAGGCCCCCAAGCAGTATATTCACTTCCTCAACAACATCCTCCTCAGGCCACTGCAAAGACATGAGAGAATGCACCAACATCATTCTGCATTGAACAGCAGCAGCGAAAATGGAACGCTCGAGGCACATGTAGCATTAGTTCACCTGCCGCCATTGTTGTTTACGTTTGTTCTTAGCTACTGCGCCGTCCAAATGTCCGTGCGGGGAAGTGGAGGTCATAGGAACCACAGAATTCACAACTTTTCTTCACACAACTCAGAAACAGCGTATCTGTTCTGTTCCACTCAGGAGGCTTCTCAACTCTTGCGTTTTCAACTCATTGAAACACCGTCTTCATGTAAACGAAAGGCCAAACCAATACCCAACTCTAATGTTTTACTGTTGCGTCGTCCTCATGTAAACAGCACCTGAGACCAATAGCCTATGTGTTTTTAGTGGTCGGGGAAACTAAAACACCAGGAAGAATCCTACAGACATGGAAAGAACATGCAAACTCCACACAGAAAGGCCCTGTCCAGAGGTGGAATCAAACCCACAACTTTGTTGCGGTGAAACACAAGCACAAACCACTGTGCAACCTGGAACTAGACCAGGATAAAAACCAAAAGGATTAAACTGGGAACACACCATGAACATTTTGGCAGATCTGATTCACTTCATTACTATGTTAATCACTTTGACTAATTGCATCTTTCCGTAATTATATTTCATCCATTTATACATTTGTTGCTCTCAATTCTAACTCATTTCCTAGAGCCCGCTTGAAACACTCAATTCGCTTACACAATATCTCCAGTTTCACATCGGACCATCACTTGTTTACTGTATAGGAAATCCATATGTAAGACAATGGGAGGCTCTGTCAGGCGCCTGGACCTGTGCGAGGCGTGACATTTGTGCATCAAACATTTGCACCCGGCTGCTCCGCTGGATACTTGTGGATCAGACACCAGACTGACTGACTGACTACCAAACAGCCCACCTGCTGCTGAGAATACCAAAACAACACATGCCCATGCAGAACATACATTCATTGAAGGCAAACCAAAAAGCCAAATCCCCTGGAGTCATGGCATTTCTCAGTAAAACGTCTCAAATGTTTGAAAGATTCATCCTGGAGAGATGTCAACAGTTTCCCTCCTCAATCATACATCACACTCAGACTGTCAGAAAGTCTCCTAAAACACAAACTGCAAAGCTAAAGCGAGGAACGAAGGGTAAAAAGAAGATTTACTGTAAGTCCAAGCCAGAGCACGGATGGACCTTATCAAAGTTTCATGAAAAGGTGTGTAGGTTGGTGGACGTTCAAACTGAGATCAACACGAGCTCTGAGAAATCCAATAAGACCGTTAGAGGGAAATGATTCTGTTGCTACTATTCTAGTCACACGAGGGACTGGTGTATGTTTGTGCCTGGACCAAGTGCATGGAAGTGTTTTGAAGATAGGCGCAGTGAATTGTATTGGTCAAAATCAATATCTAGATGTCTGCAAGGTCGGAGGTAGATGATTTGTTGTGAAGGGGCAGTGGTGAACATTCTGGGCTGTTATACTCGTGTTTGTCCTGATTAAATCCTGGTTAAAGTTCATTTCTTTTTGATTTAGTCCATATTTTTTCCTGCTCTCTTGATGCTTATTGCTGCTTAGTCTTGGATGAAATGTTTATTCGTGCATTTAGATTGATATGACTATAATGTTTAAGCTGGAGTACCCATAACTTTTTTCTTTCATAAATACATTGTGTTTCTTCTGTCTTCATCCTATCTTCAGCTTTTATATACTGAATCTGATCTAAAGATGTGACAGAGGCCAAAGACACATGGATGTGAAAATTAGAGATAGAAAGAACTAGTGACTTGGATTTTAAAACCAAATATGTGTTGTTTTGTTCAAAGTTAGGTACTCCAGCTTTTTACCATTTGTATTTGAGGTTCTATAAATCATGATTAGATCCATTTGTGAAGTGGACTTTGTTGATCTATCAGTTGAAGGCTTTTGCCAACAGCTGTGTAGCAAAAGCGGTAGTTTTGAAGCTCATACATCAAAATGTCTGCCAAAGGCCACAGGTCAGCCAAGGATACTCCGAGTGCCTTTCTGCAGAGACGGTGTGGGGCTCTTTCAGAAGCACAGGAAGCATAAAACAAGGCTGCATTATCCTCTCCACTGGTCTGGGCTTTTGCACCAACTTTAGAATAAAGACACACAAATGGGCGGCTTTGTAAAGCTTGTTTCAATGTAAGCCTGCCTTGCTCACAAGCATTGCCTAATTGCTACATGTTGTCTGAAAAGATTATCGGACAAAGCTTTTCTGTTCTTGTAATACATGAAGGAAGCAAACAGCCCCATGCTTTGACCCTTCAACCTTCAAGTTACAATTAAACTTGTTTGTTAAGAGCCGCACAGATCTTAGAGAAAGAGCAAGCTTTATCGAAAGTCGAGCAAACAAAGTGCTCTTACCTTGGTCTTGAGCGGTTCTGTGTCCTCCAGGATGGAAACGAAAGGAATCTCCAGAAAAGAGGAGAAAAAGTCCAGCTGGAGGAGCTCCTCTTTGCTCCGGGGGAAGGCCAGCACCGCGGACACCCCACGCACGACCAGGTCCTGACAGGTGCTGCGGGAGAGGGAGTCCGGGTCGCCTCCTATGGGGATGCGCGCCAGCATGTCCAGGGTGAGATTATAGGGCAGCAGAGGGGGGCTCTGGGACGATGTGGTGGTCGCCCCGCTGGAGGTGTCCGAGCCCGCACTCTGGTGCCGGAGGCTGGTCAGGGCGCGGTTCAGAGCGTTCTGGATCCGAGCGGGCTGCCGGCTGGGGAGCAGCGCACCCATGCGCACACTGTATCCGATCCGGGAGAGGATGTGGCAGGGCTGGGTGCGCGGGGAGCAGGACTCTGGGGATGAGGAGGCAGAGGACAGCAGCAGGAGAACAGTGAGGCTGAGGAGAGGAGCTCTCCGGGGCATGAGGCAGTAGCACCAGAGTCCAGAGAGAGACAGCATGCTGCAGCTCCAACGCGCGACTCAGGACGACTGGACTACGCATAGCTCCTCTTTCCTGCGACTCCAGCGGTGTCCTCGGACTTCTACTTCCCGCTTGTGCGCCTGTTTCGTCCTGCTGGTAGTCGTTGAATCTTATCAAACTTTGTCCTTCTCTCGACTTGCCATGCCGTCACAAGTACACAGCCTGCGCGCGTAAGAGAGGAGAGAATGCAAAGACGCGCGGTGAAAGCCGGGAGACGGTGCGCGCAGCTCCGAGCGCTCGTCCCGCTTGTGTCAGTCTCCACTGAAGGAGGAAGGCTCAGCAGCTGTGAGCTCCGTGTGCGTGCGCGCGTGTGCGAGTATGTGTGTGCGTCTGAAAGCCGGCCCGCCAATAATGTAACCTCTCATGGAGACTGCCTCTTGCTGAATTTTAATGACAAATCATTGGTAACATTTCCTTCCCATTCCTCATGGTTCCACGGAGAATAGACACATGTTTTCATGCAAAAGAGAGAGGCAAATGAAATATTCCCCGAAGTAATTATAGTTTATCATTGCACTTTGAACTCAATTTATGACTGAAACAAGTAAATGCATGAGAGTGTTTGAGTGTTACCTCTCCTCGCTCATACATAAACTATATTAAATGTTTTTATTTATGCTCCACACCTGGATCACCAGTGCGCCTCATCATATCCATATGCATGAGCTCAGTGAATATGGTTCAATATCCTCCAGCAGGTGACTTAAAAGTCCTCTCACTCAGATTATAGATTCACTCCAGTTCACAACATCAACAAGTGCGTGCTAGACTTCAGAAGCAAATACAGGTTTTTGACAGAGCAGTGAATGGAAAATCCCGTCAGCAGCTGATTTAGACACAGAAATGATTCAAAGCCTATTTTCAACCATCAGTCAGACGGATCTACCTGATCTGTCAGAATGGTCACATCTGGTAACGACAGCTATAACTGACAAAGGCAGAAGTCTACCACCGAAACATGTGTTACTTAATAATGATAATAATCGGTTTTATATAGTGCTTTTTTGGACACTCAAAGACGCCTTTCATTATTTCATTCCATATGGAGTATTGTAGCCACAGCTGCCCTGGGGCACACTAACCGAAGCGAGGCAACCAAAGTTGTGTGGAAGAGGTTTCTTAACATTGATAAAATTGAATCCTTACAATCCATCAATCCAACACTTTATATCTTAGAGTGCAACAGCTTGAGTCTTTAAGACAAGCAGTGATTTCCTGGTGTTAGATGAGAGTGACAGACAGGACTTAATGCCCCACAGTCTGCATAACAACAGTACCATCAATCAGACATAATAAAAACATGGCCACAATCAAATCAACCAAAGCAAATATTGTTCTAAGTCACATTAGCAATTGACTTTCATTAAGACTCACTTTAGCCTTGAAAATAATCCACTGGAGCGTTCCCAATCATTGCAGTTTTTACTCTCACTGTCTAGGAAAAAAATAAATGGGATGTTTTAATTAAATCTCGCAGCCACTTGTTTTAGCTAGGTAAAAGGCTCTATTTAAGCACCGCCTCTGCTCTGACCACCACTGCCCCTGCCAGGCTGGGCAACCACAAAGCTAATAGCTCTCTGAAATCCCCATTTTCCTTCCAAGATTTATTCCCGCGTCTTTGGGCCCGTCCAAGTTCAACATTATCCGTTGAGTAACCAGCACTTTTCAGCACCACGGCCAGCGCCATAAAAGTCACCCACTGTGCATGTTAATTTGGCTTCATGTGAGGGAGAGTGCTCCATCCGTCAGTCACTTCTCTGTCCCCTGATTTGATTTTGTCCCATTAGAGCAGAACGTTCAGTCTGCGTGTCCGTATGGTCACTGGGGTTTTTACGTCAGCTTTGTGAAATCTGTTCAAGGGCCACTGATGGATAAAAGCTCTTTATCTACTTTGTTTTTACCCGAATTTGAAATAAAAGAAAAGTATTTTGGGTTGCTGGAAATGGGTAAACCAAACAGCATCTAGTGTTTGATTTGTTTTTGTTTCAAAGTATCACAACCTGGTATTGTTGGTGTACACTGCTGATAATCCCAGTCCGAGCACATACATACATAAACATATTATGTACTATAGTCTAAATAATTCTTGTATCTTCTCTTCTCTTAAATTCTTCAATGTTTACTGTAGTGTCAATTTAGTGCACGGGGGATGCTCATGTGCTGCCTGCAGACTTATCAGGCCTGTGTCTCCTTAGTTTAAACTCTCCCACCAGAGAAAGCCAACTTCTCTGAGTGGACCGGACAGGACTGGACAGGACTTTATGAGAATGGACAGGACTTTATGAGAATGGACAATACAACAGTGTCTGGATTCTGGAGGGTTGCTGTCCCGGTCTGATCTTGTTGGTAGTGAGTCAACTTCACCTTTACTCACTACCAACAAACTTCACCTTTCTTACAACACTCCCAACCTATATTTATATACTGCATCAGTATGTCTATTCAGATTTCTTTTATTGTTGATTTTTCTCTCTGATGTTTCCTTGAATTAGAAACGTTGTTGGATCTTGCAAACTCAAGCTGAGGTATAACATAACTTTAAAACCTAAACAAATGAACAATATCATACAATACATCCAACTAGTTCCTTACTTTCGAAACAAATTGGTTCTATGGTTTCCACATGCATGTATTTTAGGCTTCTGTTACAATCTCGAGATCAGCTTGTTCACACAGAAAGGTCTAAAAGAGAGGACATGTCTTGCTTAATCTGTTCTCAGACCAAAGTGTACTAAAGAGTGACTAACAGGGCCCTTTCTCACAATTATGCAAACAAACAATTTTCTACAGCATATTGTGGTCTCATTATTTCGGGGAAAAAGTGAGGTACTGCAGCTTGAAACTAGACTTAAAGAGGCATTTCATGTGAAAAAAGGTTATGTTTTTTTGCATATTTGACCTTGTAGTGACCGAGTGTCTGTATGAATCGTCTGCATGACAACTTTACACCTTTTTTCCCATCACAGTGGTCTGTAGGATGCTGTGTGATCAAGTTTTTGGAACATGTTCTCTGCTGTGAGACCCCCGCACCAGAAAATCTACAAATAGAGTTGTTCTTAGATCTGTGTAGAGACAACTGTGATCAAAAGTAAACATAACATGCTGGCCAGTCGTACAGCCTCTGGGCCTACACAAGCTCAAAGACGCAAAATAAAAAAACAATTTTCACATAAAACGATTCCTCAATTCACCTTTAAAATATTTAGGGTGATATTTAGCACCAATAAACAGCAAGAGTAAATCACCCTATTCAAAAAAACATGTGTTTGCTATTAAATGTTTCATAGTATCAATATTTTTTCTGTGGGAATAGGTACAAAAAAAGCATGCTGTTAGTTCTGTGGGAGCAATAACCAGTGATCATTCAGCACTTTTGTCTCCAGCAGAACATGCACCTGCAGATTAAGGCATCCCAGCTCCTCGCTCAATTCCCCCTGGCCGTCTTTCCTCCCGTGTGATTCCAAATGCGGCCGTGGCGTGACCCGTTACTGTGCGGCTGACAAAAATGTGAGACAGTGAGGCCAAGCAGAGCGCCGTTCTTCCAGCTCTCTGGCCCCTTCCTCCTGTCTCCTCACGCTGCATACAGAGCCAGATGAAACCCGGCTCGCTGGGCTTTGTTCTCCTGCTCAAACCAACAGCATTAAACTTGCATGGCTCCTTTCACACACTCCCCCTGGTACCTGTTGCAGCCTGGCAGGTAGAGTCGAGAACAAACACTTCACTTCCAAATGTATTTTTGCAGGGTTTTTGTTAGCACGTTTTTGGCCTTATTGGGAATTCTAGTGACCCGCAATGAGAAGGAGGTAAAGGAGCTCAAAGACTGGTGATGGTTTGCAACGTTCAACCAGGACATAGTGGACAATGTTTTCTCAGTTGCAAGATAGAGAGAAAGTTACATCGATCTCAGGTAAAAGTGAAAGAGGTACTGTGAAGAAAAATACGTAGACATTAACTGCAGCAAGGGGAAAGTCAATATATTTGGGTAAAACATGAGTATTTCTGTAACATAACACATTTTAAATCACTTTGAAATCACTCGGAGAGACGGATAGATAGACGGATACAGTAGAGAGATAGATAGATAGATAGAAAATCATGTGTCCATCAGCGGAAACACATCCATCCATATAAACAATAAAGTACGTAATTAAAAAAGTTACTAACAATAGTAATTAAGTGCACCAGCATGCACATAGTCTGCGTGGTTTGACAATTTTTTTCTGCTCTGGTTCAGAGTGAAATTTTTGCTTTATTTGCATTTTTCAAGAAATAAAAAATGGCATTCCTCCAATGGATTTTTTGGTTGATCTGCTTGGTTTGGACTTTGCGTTCTCTGCTCTGGTCTGGATCAGTGTAAAACCAGGAACACTATGGTTGTTAGTGTTAGTGTTTCAGAGCTACTTGGGATTTGCTGCCGTTTCCAGCGCATTCTAAAGTAAACAATCTGGTCTTTTTTACAATTAATCCCATACACATCACTGTTTAGTTCTTATTTTCAAACACACAGATACACACACACACACACACACACACACACACACACACACACACACACACGCACACACACAAACACACACATGCACGAACACACAATTCCAACACCCCCTTGATGAGGTAAATGACCAAGATAATGGGGGATGGGACAAGAACGCATACACCACCCTGGAATAGAATTAAGAAATGTGGCCATCACTAATGCCATAATGACTTTACCTTCTCATACTTTAATTGGAAAATATTTGTGGTAAATGGATTTTGGCCAACAAAGCATTCATTTATAATAGCAACATGGGCAAAGAGAAAAAAAACAAGATAAGGGGCGAAAATACAGACACTTTCAGGGAATGATTGCAATTTTATTTGTGTTGGCTTTTTTTTTTTCAAAATCTCAAGCAAACAAAATTGATTAGAAAAAAAGTACACATGTCCAAAATGACTTTATTTTGGGCCAAATAAATGAAAAAAGAAATTAATTTCC